AAAAAGATTTTTAAAATAAATGAAAAGATAAAAGGGTTAATAAATTTAAATAAAAGACAAAATGGAACAAACCAAACAACCGATCTAGACAGACAAGGAGGAAAATGGATCACTGTGTCGACTTCACTTCCACCCCTTTAGTCTTCATGTCCCATAAGTGTGTTTTTAGTTTTACTTTTGTGCTATTTAAACAATGGGACGGTCGAATCCGGCTAAAGTCAACTTGCTTAACAGCAACACCCAGATAATTCGACACTTTTAAAAACCTTTTTTTTTAAAAAGAAATACTCCCTTGAAGGTATTCTCACATTTATCTTAGAGAATGGCAGGATTTTCAGGGGCCTCGAACAATCTTTTTAACAAAATTTGGTCACTTTATTTCAAATTGTTGAAGTTAGAGACATAATAAAATATATTCGCTAAGTTCCATTTTAGATTTAAGAATCCTCCTAACATTTTTCCGGGCCCCCAAAAAGTTATCTCATAGTGTGCTTTATTTCAAATTGTTGAAGTTAAAGACATAATAAAATATGTTCGCTAAGTTCCATTTGTGAGGCAGCGTGGTGGAATCAGGCTCAAGAGTCCTCCTAAAATTTTTCTTGCCCCCCCCCCAAAAAAAAATAATAAATTATCTCATAGTGTGCTTTATTTCAAATTGTTGAAGTTAGAGACATAAAACATGTTCGCACACTTCCATTTTAGCTTTAAGAATCCTCCTAAAGTGTTTCCTGGCCCAAAAAGTTATCTCATAGGGTGGGATGATTTTGGGGTTTTTGAGATCGACATGACGCCTTCCGTCCACTTTGGACTCGTAGAGTCTTCGAGTTAGCAAAATGGGAAATCCGGTTATTAGGTTGTTCGGATAGTGAGAAGGGTTTTTCTTTTTTCCTTCAAATTCTGGCTTCTTGATAATAACCGGTTCGAATTGTAGCCTACTGTATCTGGCTCGCTGACAATATCGATTGTTGGAAAATTTGGAAAAACGAAGTCGGGGTGAAAGAGTGTGGATAGATATTCTGAAGCGGTTGGGAGATTTTTATTTAGTTGTTGTTGTTGTTGCTGTTGTTGATTTTGCTTTGTCGCTGCCGTTGTTGTTATTGTTGTTGTGTTCATGTTTTGTTGTTCATGTTGTTGTTGTTGAGGTTGTTGTTGTTAATGCTGTTGTGGCTTTGTTGTTGCTGTTGCTGTTGCTGTTGTTGTTGTTGCTGTTGTTGCTGTTGCTGTTGCTGTTGTTGTTGTTGTTATTACTGCTGTTGTTGTTTTTGGTGGTGATATTATTGT